TTCCTCTGACCTGGCATCTCGCAGACTTCCAGTCAGAGCAGTCCTCAGTTGCTTAGTGCAGTGCCTTCTTTGGGTCAAACCAGAGAAATAGGGGCAACTATTTCTCTAGTGCATTCATTTCTCTGCATTCCCACTGCTATTATCTTAGTTCTGCCAGAGTGATTTTTTTCTAAACTAAAAATCAAATCACTTCCATTTTATGGTTTCCTTTAGAATGTCTTTAGATAATGTCCAGAATCAAAAATACGGACCATAATGCCCTTCATGCCTTGTCCCTTTGGCCTTAGTTCTTTTTTATATATATATATTATATTTTATTGATTTTTTACAGAGAGGAAGGGAGAGGGATAGAGAGTTAGAAACATTGATGAGAGAGAAAAACATCGACCAGCTACCTCCTGCACCCCCCTTACCGGGGAGGAGCCTGAAACCCAGATACATGCCTTTGACCCGAATCGAACCTGGAAACTTTCAGTCCGCAGGCTGACGCTCTATCCACTGAGCCAAACCGGTTTCGGCTGGCCTTAGTTCTTGACATAGTTTCCTTTTATTCTAATAGCACTAAGCAAAGTGTAGCTCCTTCTTTCTTCTAGGCCTCTGCAAGTGTCATCTCTAGCTCCGAAATGCACCTCCCACACATAGGCACACCCAAATCATAGGCACCTTGCCTGTCAAATACCAGCTTCATGTCCAGTTTTGTTGTTTCCTTCTGGAATTTTTCCCCTTCTGTCCCCAAGACTGGGCATGTGACTCTTATCACTCTCTGCTGACATGTCTGTATGACCAGACTAGAAGATCCTGGAAGTAAACACTGTTTACCACCATCCCTCTTCTCCGTGCTTCCTCCTCCCCCAGCACCTAGCACAGCGCCTGGCTTATTGTAGCTGCTCAGTACGTATTTGTCATATGAATGGCCAGAAGGGTCTAAGAGTCTTAAGGGGAAATATCTGTTCATCTAAAGAGACCACATGATACCCTTGGTTCTGGAATGGATCCCCCCCTTTCCCACCAGTTAATCAATATATCTGGCATTCCTGAGATTCTCTAGATTCTTGTTACACAGTGTGATCTGGAGACCAGCAGCACTGGAATTACCTGGAAATGCAAAATCTGAGTCCTCAACCTAGAATTTCTGGATTAAAATCTGCATTTTTACAAGGTTCTCAGGTGATTAATATGTATGATAATGTTTGAGAAACTCAGTGCTCTAGATAACATTAGTGATTCTTTACCCCAAAAGTTGGTAATCCATTTTCTTGAGAGAAAGAATACAAATGTCTGGTTGCCAATGTTCTGGAAGCTGAGGACTTGCCTGAAACAATCTACTCGTTGTTAGAAATTTCCTTTCCTAACTCCCAAAGCCTTCCATTTTGATTTTTTTTAAAATATATTTTTATTAATTTCACAGAAGAGAGAGCGAGAGGGAGGTAGAAACATCAATGATAAGAGAGAATTATTAATTGGTTGCCTCCTGCACACCCCCCATGGGGGATGGAGCCTGCAACCCTAGCATGTGCCCTTGAGCAGAATTGAACCCGGACCCATCAGTCTGCAGGCCAACACTCTATCCACTGAGCCAAACCAGCTAGGGCCATTTTGAATTTTTTAATTTTAAATAATTTTAATTGCTTTTGAGAGAAATAAAGAGAGAGAGAGAGAGAGAGAGAGATCAATTTGTTGTTCCACTTATTTATGCATTCATTGGTTGATTTGTACATGTGCCCTTTGTATGTGCCTGACTGGGAGCACAACTTTGATGTATCTGGATAATGCTCTAACCAACTGAGCTACCAGGCCAGGGTGGAAGCCCTCCATTTTGTACAGCTTCTCAGAGCTCCTTTCTATTTGCTAGATGGAATGCTGCTAATTCATGAATCATTGGATAAAGCCATTTTGATCTTTAAATTTACTTAGTAGAAAATAGGAATGGCTTGTAAACATATTGAAAAGATGCTCAAACCTGGCCAGAGTGGTTCAATCAATTGGGAACTATTCTGTGCACAAAGGGTTGCTGGTTCCATTCCTGGTCAAGGCACATGCCTGGGTCTTGGGTTCCATCCCCAGTCGGGGAGCCTGCAGAAGGCAACTGATTGATGTTTCTTTATCACATCAATGTGTGTGTCTCTCTCTCCTTTCTTCTCTTTCAGCATGTCCTCGGGTAAGGATTAAAAAAGAAAAGATGCTCAACTGTACTTATAAAAAATATTAAAATAAGGTTGTGATTTAGAATATTAAAGATTAAAACATTTGCTAACACTTGGTGTTGGTGAAGCTATGGGCAAATAGGCACTTCCATCCTTTGCTGAACAGGGTGTAAATAGGTAAAACATGTACAGAAGGAAATTTTGCAATATTTCATAAATTCATATACCCTTTGGCCCAGTGATTCTATTTATAAATTTTTAAAAATATATATTTTATTGATTTTTTTACAGAGGAAGGGAGAGGAATAGAGAGCCAGAAACACTGATGAGAGAGGAACATCAACCAGCTGCCTCCTGCACACCCCACACAGGGGATGTGCCTGCAATCAAGGTACATGCCCCTGATTGGAATCGAACCTGGGACCTTTCAGTCTGCTGGCCGATGCTCTATCTATTGAGCCAAACCGGTTTCGGCTCTATTTATAAAATTTTATTCTACAAATTTAATCTCACATTTGGGATTATGTCATAGTCAAGGTTATTCTTGTAGCATTGTAACAGTCGAAAGGTTGAAGTCACCATATATATATTCTTCAGCAGAGGACAAGGTACATGCCTTTGACCAGAATCAAACCTGGGACCTTTCAGTCTGCAGACTGTCACTCTATCCACTGAGTTAAACCGGTTTTGGCAATTTGTCAGTTTTTTATTTAACTTACTGTGTTACTGGCGGGGACTTTGATTCTTCCCATCAACGCAGAAAAGATTTTAAGGTCAAGGAAAATGAAAATAAAGCAAAGTGGGATTTATTGAAGATATACTCCAAGCAAGCAGCAGCAGGCCAGTCAAGAAACCATGGTCCTGAACCCCTAGGTTATATGGTTTAAACTAAAAAGATGTTACCAGAGAGAGGAGGAGACCTCAGTTCTTGACTTCTCGAGGGAACAATTTCAAGCAAGAGACAAAGGTGTAGAAAAGCAAGCAAAGAATTTATCGACCATAGCAAAAATAGACATAGAAGAGTGAAACAAAGAAGGGCACAAAAGAAGCAACAGGAGCGCCTAGGCTGGGCTGCTTTGGCTCACTGGGAGGTCAGAGAAAAGGGGGAAAAGGAACCTTAGAGTCAGGTTCAGGGGTTAGACCCGATGGGCTGTGCTGTCGCTGCTTCCCTGGTTGCAAGCCTCACGGGGTCACTTGGAGGTTAGGGATACATGTGGGGAGGAGGAGGGAAGAGAAGGAGCTGTAGAAGGGAGGAATGGCAAGGGGTGTGCTTCCTGAAGGGAGAGCAGCACTGGGACCTTCATTTTCAGAGATTTTAAAGGCTGGGTGGTTAGGGGAGGTTTTAAGGGCAGATCAATAGAATATTCTTCTGCTTTAGGCTGATGTCCCAACATGAGATTTATTCTCTCAATCTGTCTGTCCTTGGGTGTGGATGGCAAATGGCACTTAATTGAATTTCTGTTATCTGTCTCTCTGAGTTGGAAAAATTTAAACTATTTACCCTCTCGTTGGGGAAGAGTGCAAACTGTTTACTTTTTTTTTTTTTTTTAATTGTTTAAAGTATAACCTAGCCGAAACCGGTTTGGCTCTGTGGGTAGAGCAATGGCCTTCAGACTGAAAGGTCCCGGGTTCAATTCGGTCAAGGACATATGCCTTGATTGCAGTGCACTTCCCCAGTGGTGGGTGTACAGGAGGCGGCTGATGGATGGTTCTCTCTCATCGATGTTTCTAACTCTCTGTCCCTCTCTCTTCCTCTCTGTGAAAGATCAATAAAATATATATATTTTTAAAAGTATTACGTATAGTAGTACATATATCTCTTCTCCCCTCCCCCCCCCCTTCCCTCCCATTGACCTTCCCCCACCTCCTCTACCATTTAAGTGTCTTTGGTTTAGGGAAGATAGAATTGACAAAGTGGACAAAAACTGCTGTTTAACCACCTGTCTCGGCTTTCCCATTCCACTCCTGACATTTTCCTAGTTCCTCACTATCCTATAACTACTGGAATTGTGTGGGAACTGAAGAAGTTGCAGGTCACCCAAACGTAGGGCATTCGAGGCAGGTTTCAGCCTCGCAAATGCATGTTATTTTGTTTCTGGGAGCCCACCAGCCAAAAACGGTTTGATCTTAGTGCTATGATCTCAAGAATTTTTGTTTGTTTATTCCACTCCTATTTTACAGCCTTCAATTTATCAAATCAGACACGTGTCTGGTGAAACTCTCCAAGGTGATGTCAAAGTCACTGAGGCATTTCTTAAGGGTTACAACCGGTGGGACAAGGTGAGGCGGTGGGTAGGCGGGCAGAGTTAGCGTTGGCAGCTGGGTTTCCATAGCCAGTAAACCACTCATGCCTCGTCCCGCAGCTCCCCAGGGCAGGGAGACCTTTTCCCGAGTTTGCCCCTCCGCTCCGGGCCCAAGAGGCGCCGCCCCCGCACCCCCGGGTCCGCAAACCCCGGCCACATTCCCACGGCGACGCGCTCGCCCGGTGCATTGTGGGCACTGTAGTCCTGCCGGGACCTGTTTCTGACTACAAGTCCCGTGACCGCCGCTCCCCCTCCGCCTCCTCCGTCTGGTCCGCAGGCCCCTCCGCGGCCTCAGCAAGGCCTCCCGGGCCGGGCGCGGCGCATTCCGGCGAGTCAGCGCTCTCTTCCCCGGAGCGCGAGAGGCGGAAGCCGGAGGGGCTCGGGGAGGAGCTTCGCGCGCGGGGTGAACGCCCGCCCTACGTGCTCGCTCGCCTCGCGACCGCTGCGCGCGAGCCCGGTGTCCCCGCGGCCAGGAGCGGCGGCGGCGGCGGCGGCAGCGGCGGAACGCGGCGGGGCGGAGGTTGCCCGCGGAGGCGGCGGCTGCACCAGCGACATGGCGGAGACGGTGGCGGACACCCGGCGGCTGATCACCAAGCCGCAGAACCTGAATGACGCCTACGGGCCGCCCAGCAACTTCCTAGAGATCGATGTGAGCAACCCGCAGACGGTGGGGGTCGGCCGAGGCCGCTTCACCACCTATGAGATCAGGGTCAAGGTGAGGCCGTCTGTCCACCCCCGCTCCCGGCGAGACCCTTCCTGCCCCCTCGGGTCGCCCCCTGCCGACCCGGGAGCGCATCCCCTCGGGCCGCCCCGGCCGGGATCCCCAGGCCGGGATCCCCGGGCTGACTCGGCGGGGCTGCCCTGTCCGCGGGCGGGGTCTGGGGCCCGGCTCCCCGGAGGGCCGGCCGGGCTGGGGGCTGCAGAGGGAGCTGAGCCCGGCGCCGGCGCTGGGAGAAGGTGGTGCATGGAGATCGGGACGGGGGTTGGGCTCCGTTGCCCCTCCTGCAGCTGATCGGGGAGTGCCATTTGAGTTGGAAAGGGGTAGATGTTTCGAGAACACAGCCTTTCAGGAAGGGGGAGGTAGATGTGACTGAGATAGGGGGTTTTGCGCAAAGTTGAAACCCTCCCTGTTTTTTCTTGGACATTTTTTTTCCCCCCCCAGCAGTGGCCGAGCCAAGCTGGTTGGTTGCTTTGGGCTTTTCCCAAGCCGCCAGACTAACCTCGGTTCTTTTGAACAGAACCTAAAGGGAGTTCACAAAAGTCTGACCAGTTTGGTACGGCTGAGCCAGGTGAGAGGGGAGTGATTGGAAGTGATAGTGACCTTAGCGGTCAGGGCCGCCGTGGTCTGGGGTGAGGGTGGGGAGTGCCGCCTACCTCACAATCCAGAACCAGGACGCGCCAACAAAAGCCTGTCCAGTTAGGGATGAGGTTTGCACTTCATTGAATGAATCAATCAGCTGAAGTCGAAACACACTTATAACTTCATGACCAGTATTTCTTGGCAGTAAGTAATTCCGATGATTTGAACGATGCATAATTGAGAAGAATGCTTCACTTTCTGTAGTTCGTGCTCACGTATGGAAGTATCTTTAAAAATTAGCTACATAAAATGAATCCGCCTGTTAAAGATGACAACAACAACAAGTTATTTTGTTAAAAATTAAGCATAAGAAGAATTTAGCTTTAGAGTAATCCAACTTTATACATAACAAGTTACTGTTAACATTTAAATGGAATAATGTCTTCTTTGACTTAACCACTTTTTGTGTGGTAAAAAACACACATGACATTTATTATCTTAACCGTTTTTAAGTTCACAGTTCTGTAGTGTTAAATATATTCTCATTGTTGTGAAACTTATGCACTTTTAAGAAGTGATTTACTTACATAGTTTTGTTAAATTAAATATCATCAAACTTTAAGGTATGAAACTAGCAATTTAATGACACAAGCTACTCATACCTCCCTACAGATATGTAAAATGTGACCATAAGCAGTCTTGTTATAGTGACCTCAAATCCAGGCTCCAGTGTACCTAGGAAAGTACATTGCCACCTGAGCTTACCGAAAAAGGGAGTTTTTTTTTTTTCATTTATTTTTTTTAACTTTTGGAATTACTTTGGATTGTCTTAAATATGTGGCTTATTGTTCACCAAAACGAACTTCCTCTTTTACCCTTATTCACCAAGCATGTTTTCCTTTCTTTCTTTTGCTGAAACAGAACTTGGTATTCCTGTTTCTAAACTTCCATAGCAGTACTTCCTGTCACACAACTGAAGTGGAATCTCCTGCCTACACTTCCTCCATTTAATGACTGAGTTTATCTTGCTGAGAGCATTACATTAAGTAGACTCTAGCCTGATAACTTAACTATTTAAAAAATATATCTGATACTTGGTTACCAAATAGCTGATGTGACACTTTAAAATAAGTTGTGCTTTATGGTGTGGTCATTTGCATTTTAAAGGCAATAATCTTAAGAATGATTACTAAATTGTAGAATTAACAAAGTGTACACATACACTGGTTTGTACTACCTAAAACAGTATGTTGTATGTTAATGATGATTACAGTCATAAATGCAAGTCCTCTATAAGAAAATGTCATTGAGTTTCTAACGCTTATAAAATGCCATGGTTGCCCTAGCCAGTTTGGTTCCGTGGATAGAGCGTCGGCCTGTGGACTGAAGGGTTCCAGGTTCCATTCCTGTCAAAGGCACATGCCCAGGTTTCAGGCTCTATCCTGGCGTTCAGGAGTCAGCCAATCAACCAATGATTCTCTCTCATCATTGATGTTTGTAGCTCTCTCTCCCTCTCCCTTCCTCTCTGAAATCAATAAAAAAATATATTAAATAAGTAAAATGCCATTGTTGTTTCTCATAATACCCTGTTTCCCTGAAAATAAGACAGTGTCTAATATTAATTTTTTTCTCCCAAAGTTGCACTAGGTCTTATTTTCGGAGGATGTCTTATTTTGGGGGAAACACGGTATGTAATGTTACTTAATACTCAGGATATTATGTAGGAAGATATTAGTCTTATTTTAAGCAGCATATGGCTTTTGAGAACAAGTACAGTCTTGTATTAAGGCAGTATGGCCAGTGAAATGAACAGATAAATCATTTTGTAATGACTTTTATTACTACTTTTCTATACTATTGCTGCTCACTTTAGTCCCTACTACCTGCCTTTTGCTATTAAATTTGCCATGTGGCAAACCATTTTATGTTTCAGAGTTTGGGCCCTTCAACCATATTATAGTTACTCTTTAATTCTGGTCTTGAGAAAAATGTTCAGTTTTATAGAATCTGATTGAAATTACTCTAATTCACAGAGTAATTTTATCAGAATGGTGGCACTTTAGAATGCAAGTTTCCCAATCTCCATTTATCTTTTGGTTTGAGGATAGTGTTTAAGACTATTAGGATCCCTTGATTAGTATCTGGGCTTTTGAAAATAATTGGTGGTGGTAATGTTTTTAAAAATTGTTCTAATGGGTAGGTACAGCAGAGAGCCCCATAAATGATTAAAGTTTAGGAAAGCTCAGGGTCTAGAATTATTTTGGCATATTAAAGAGAAGGCTTAAGGGAAAATTCAGTCATCGTTTATGAAGTTTGTGTTATAATGTTACTTTAATTTTCTGGAGATTAAGATCTTTTGTACCTAGAGACAACTGTTTCGAACAGGAATGAAGTTAAGGATCTTTCTTGAGCTCTGAGTTCGAAGACTTGAGTTATTATTTACTAGCCGAGTAGAATACAAAATTTAAACTCTACTTCCCTTGGTAGAATAGGTATCCTAATAATAGTGCCTATCTCATAGGATTAAGTGAGATAATGCACATAAATCCCTTTAGCACAGTGACTGGTACATAGTCACTCAAATGTTATTTCTCTCTCTCTCTCTCTCTCTCTCTCTCTCTCTCTCTATTTTTACAGAGAGGAAGAGAGAGGGATAGAGAGTTAGAAACATCAATGAGAGAATCATCGATCAGCTGCCTCTTGCACACCTCCTACTGGGAATGTGCCCGCAACCAAGGTACACGCCCTTGACCAGAATCGAACCCAGGACCTTTTACTCCGCAGGCAAACGCTCTATCCACTGAGCCAAACCGGTTTCGGCACCTCTTTCTCTTTTAAAAAATATAGGTTTCCATTTTACAGTACCATTTGTATATTTCATTGTGGTTCATTCCATAAAGTCAAGTCTCTAAAAGGTTACCTCTTTCTAAATACAGATATTTTCTAAAAGTCAATAATCAGCATGGCCCTGAGGTAGCTCACTTGGTTAGAGCAAGCATGTCTAACTCAAAAGCTAACACAGGCCAAATAAACAAGGTTTAAATTTATGTGGGCCCCCAAGAAACAAAAGCTTCAATTTTCATAGAAACAGGTTTATTTCGATAGAGAAATAAATGAGTAATCGTTAACGTAAAATAATAGGACATTTGAATAAAAATTAATATTTTTTTCTTGAACATTAACTTACCAGACACTGAATAATTGCACAAATTAATAAGAGTAACACAAATCTATTTTTCTTGTTCTATGAAAGCAAAATATTTCCTGTTGGGCATACCAAATAAATCAGTTCAAGACTAATGACGCAGCAGTCAGCTAGCTGCTAAAGTATTTGCTGCTAGTATTAGTGGAGAGAAATGGTGCACCTCTGCATAAGGCGCAAAAGGGAAAAGAAGCTCATACCACAAGGACAGGAATGAAAAAGCAAATAAGCTATAGGGGGCAGGGACAGGGCTGGAAATAACTTTAGAAAAGCCAAACAAATAGAGACACCAGTGACAAAATCAAAGTCTAAAACCAAATAATTGGAAAGTAATTATTCCAATATTATTTGACACAAAGAGCTTTTATAAAAATTATCTGAAGTCTTCCTAAGATTTTTCTGGTAAGATATAATGATCTCACTTATTTTGGTGACTCAAATTACATACTCCATCAGTTAATGTCACAAACTAAAATGCTGGTCCTAAGTAAAAATGCCCACATAATTTTAAACAGTCACTGAAGGAAAAAAAAAAAAGTTAATTATCTACTTTCAGTACTTCTAACAGTCCCATAATATACCACTATCAGATATGCCATTTCTTCATGCTTGCTTCCTTTCTCTATGAACAATATTAATTCTCAGGAAAGGATCAAAATTCATTCACATTTTAAGATTAACAAAACAAAATAAAAAAAGATGAACAAAACTAATTAGAGCTCAACTTTATTTCTTTGAAATCTAGTGAACATTCTCAAAACTCTGAAATTTCAGATATCAGCAAAGAAAAGACGAAAGAATTAGGAGATGATCAGAATGTTGCTAAAGCTACACCTTAAAAAAAGCCAATCCCAATCACTTAGTAGCTGCTATTGTGGGAAAGCAAAGAACAGTGTGTTTTTCCTTTCTTCATATGGCTGCCCAGCTACACTAAATTTTCCAACTGATTACTATAACCGTGTTGCATTCATTTCCCTGATAATAGAGGAATAAGATATTATGACATGCTAATGGCCCAGTGCATGAATTCATGCACCAGAGGGGTCCCTCGGCCTGGCCTGTGGGATTGGGCCAAAACTGGCTCTCTGACATCCCCCGAGGGGCCCCCAGATTGTGAGAGTGCGCAAGCCAGGCTGAGGGACCCCACTTGTGCACGGTCTGGGCTGGGGAGGGACCCTGGGAGGGCTCCAGGGCATGTTCAGCCCATCTCACT